CCACCATTAATAGACAAAATGATTCAATTAAAGTAGAAATCCTAATTTTTATTTTCCTATTAATAATTAATTAAATAATTATATTATTCCATAATTACCCATTCAATAAAGGAAATAGTCTTAGTGGTTGGCAAAATAAAATTTCATTTGTGGATAAACCTATTAGGAAATAAATTACACTCATATGATAATGTGCAAATTATGGAATTTTTAATTTTCCTCTCCACCTTAATGAATTTGGTCCACATGATTTATTTAATACAAAAAGATTTGGATTATAATCTAATAAATTAGATTGTGGTTCTTTGATACATCGTGACAATTCAAATCCAATCTAGGTTCACGTTGTAAGTTGAGGTGTTGGGTAGACGAAGGATTTGACGGATGATCATATAAAATTTATATCAAGGACATGCCCATAAAATTTAATTCAAATGGTTAAGGAAACTAAGCGAGCATCTATTTGTCAAATCAAGTGAACTTTTATAATATGCAAAGGTGATCACTAGATCAAGATAGATTAGTGTCGGGAATTGTTACGTAGAGTAATAGTTCATGTTGATGTTGGGGGTTGATTGCTCTTGCTCTAGTTGAATAGACAACCCTTCAAGCAATATCACTGTCCACATTGATAATTGGTCAGCATCTCTATGGGATGATAATTTAATCGTTGAGTCGGGTGGACGAAGTATACAAATGAGCATGATGTGTCATTAAGTAGCTTATTTGTTAGAACCCTATATCAATGGACCCTCATCTTGTTTTGGCATGCCTAGTATCAGAATATGATGGATGGTTTGGTAGGTTCTTTGACTACCTCATCCACTATGTATTTGGATGTTTTGACTTCAAGTTATTTGTAATCAATATCTTACAACTTTGACTGTGTTTTGTGTTAATAGTGCTTTATAGCTAGATTCTATCGCATTATAGTCAAAGGATACTTCATGTGATCCAAGATGATCTAGCCCAAGTTAGAACTGAACTCTAATTTGGCTCAATTAGAGTTCAAATCCAACACTAAATCGATCCTAATCCAAATAAATCCAACTCAAGCCTGAATCCAGCTCAAGGACCAGATTGAACATCGCTCAAGTCTCACTAGAGTTCAGCTTATATCGAGTTTCAATCAAAATCTAGTTTAGCTTAGTCAAAGTTCAATTCAAACCCAATGCAAGCTCAGTCTCAAACTCCTAATCAAGTTGCAACCAAACTAACTCAACTCAAGTGTAGAAACCTCACTATGCCCTTGCCTCTTTCGTCGGTGTCTTCAACTGCTCTTCTATTTGATCTCACAATGTATTCAATTATGGCACTGTCCTAAGGTGAGATCGTTATGATGATTCTTAATTAGGACTCAATTTCGACAAACATGAGCTTGAAGAGTTAAGTCTTCTTATATGGCTTTTACTAAGATTTCTATCAAACTTCGTCTCATAATATATTCAACAAATGCTCAACTTCCATGCAAGTTCTTGGTGACAAGTAATTGCTACTTAGACATGACCTTCTCGAGTTGGGAGATTTTGCTTTTACTATACATTTCTTCAACTAGAAAGAAGTGAGCACCTCCTTTTGTTGCGAGAATTCCATCATTGGATAATGTCCACCTTTCAAAAAAACATTTGTCGAACTTTAGAATGTTTCTTCTAGATTCATATCCTATCGGGGTGCTTTTTTTCTTCAAGTCCTTCTTATCTTTTGATTTAGATTTCTAGATAATCATGTCAATATTCCAAACCTTCTTGCATGTACTTTGCCACTACTCGCTTCTATAAAATTTCATTAACTTTAGGTTTGGCCTTCTACAATATTCCACCAACTTGATCACTCTTCCTTCGGTGCTTTAGTGTCATTCAGACTACCCATTAGGTTTGGCCTCTTCTATATAGCAAAACTCCTTACAAAAGCCACCTTCCACTTGATAACTTGCTATTTTGTGCATGAGTTCTCATCTTTTTCTCTTGAATGATCATCTATGGTTGTTGTTTCTCTTGTATAACCATGCTAATATTACCATATTAACCCACCATGGCAATTTGATGTTTGCTTGACCCACTCATATATCACTTTTTTACGTTTTTAGTTGGGATTTCCTTAGATATGTAGCAACTTAGTGATTTTTGTTTGCAAGAGTCGATGTACACCTTAACCTCTTACAATCCACGAAAATGTTAGAGGGATAAACATGCGGGTAATGTACACCTTAACCTCGTATAAAGAAAGATAAGATAACTGAGATTACAAACAACACAAAACAAAACACAATTGACTATTGAAAACAAGTTGAATGGTTGCACACATAGGTGTGACAAGAGGTAAGTGTAGGTCTAATTCTTACCTAGCACTTTAATCGAATAAAAAGTGATACGCTAAAGACTTTGTTCCTAATAGAATAGAGAATGAAGAGAAAAGGTAAAAATAGTATACTTCAATTAGTGTGATATGATATCTATTTATACATGTTGAAAGAGAGTATTTTTTTCAATTGAGCAGCGAGATTTCCTCGTGCAGTTGGAAAAATCTTATCTGCTATGCAGTTGGGAAAATCTCTTTGTTATCATACCCCCGCAAGATTGAGCTTCTGTCAAGGATGCTGATCTTGAACCAATACAACAAAAATAGTTTACGGGTGAGAGGCTTCGTGAGTGAATCTGCTAGTTGATCAACCGTATGTACATGAGAGACATGAAGTTGATGTCTGACAACTTGATCTCGCGCGAAGTGAAAGCCGATAACAATGTGTTTCATGTATAAGTGGAACACTGGATTGACACATAAGTAGGTAACTCTAACATTGTCATAATATATTGTGGGAGTAAGGGTAAAGCTAACATTGAGTTCCTTGAGGAGATTCGTAACCTAATTGAGTTCAGTAACAGTGATAGCGATAACACAATATTCAGCTTCAGTTATAGACCATACGATTATCTTTTACTTCTTAAAATTTTAACTGATTAAATTAGACCCAAGAAAAATAATATATCCTGATATGATATCAAAATTTTCTATCCAATCAGCAGCATCAGGCTGTTGCTTCTTCAGCTAGTCCTGTTACTTTTGGAGGTCCTGTGAGTGACTGCTGTGTGGAGTCTTCAAACGCCAAAGATGCTGTGACACAAGTTGGCAGGTCCTCTGGGTAATACAAAAAATGGCGGCTTGGAAGAGCTCGAGGTCATTGCTTTTCATCTTCGTTTTCATTTGTTTGTATTTCATGATATTTTTGTTGTACCAGATGTTAATTTTATTTTGTTAATCTTCCTGGATTATGGAGGGTTTATTGTTGTGTGCAGACATACATATCTGCCTTGGGGCTTGCAAATATTGCCAAAAGTACAAAGTTATCAAGTTTATGCAATATACAGTGCTTACTCACTAGATTGGTCAAGTTTATCTATCAAATGATCAGACTAACCTTAAACTACCGTCAATTAAATTGATTCTGAAATCATAAATAGAATTTGCCATCTGCATTTGCTATCTTAATACCTTTGCTGGTTATATAATTGAACTAGAACTGATTCTGTGTAATTTATTGATCCAAAGTCTCAGGAGTTGTCTGCACTATTGTGGAGAGGGGCTCCTGCTTCGACATCCACTACTCAGAGAAAGCCCCTGAGGTAATTAACTTGATGATTTGCCAAAGTTGTTCTGCTAATCTGATGTAAGCTACTGGAGAAAGACTGTGATTGTACTACTCAAGGTAAGAGAATTACAAATGCAACAACGTGTTGTGGCTTGATAATGAGAATGAGGGCACTGGAAGAAGAAATTCTGATGCCGGCGATCTTTACTCGAGCACTCACACCGTGTGATAAAGATGGGCACCGGCAACTGATGCATTCAGATCTTTGTGCAATTTGCAAGACCTAACGTGACATTCCTTCGCTGGTCTAGCGTTGTCATGGGACCTAAAACATGTGCCTTTTTGTTCTCCGGTGCAAGGTGAAACCTCATATCCGGTAGGTAAGCAGTGTACCTCAACGGAAACGTCGCCAAAGCATGTAGTTTTGTCTGCCAAAGATGCTTGTTTAGGGTTTCTAAAGGTCGATGCGCTGTGGTAAAAGAAGAAAGCTTACCATGACACTACTAGTCTTGAGATAAAAAAAGAAAGACGAGGGAAAGACGAGGGACACATCCTTTATGTTAGAGGAAAAGAGAGAGAGAGAGAAGGCGGAGGGGAAGTTGTCAAATGGAGATGCAAGTTGGCAAGTAGAGAGATGTGAACGAGGAGGCATAAAAGTAGCTTTAAGCCGTGTTGGTAGATTCGGACGATCTCACGAGCACTTTCCATGTTCTCACTAATCATGCTTTTTAGGTCCGAAGATCTCGGCGTATCGAAATAACCTATTGTCCACTTGTGCTGACAACACGATCGTGTTCACAAAACATGTGGATGTCATATGCCGCGGTAATTATTCTTTGGTGGAGATGCGTCACTCCATTCCTCCCTCTCGTCGATCGATTAAATCATTATTCCATGGTGTTGACATAACTATTAACTAGTCACCATGGAGGATGACAACAGAATAGTACAATTCGTTGACAGGAAGCTAATTAGAGTGTGTTGTCACATACTGTTCCTAGTTTGTGACGGAAACATTTGACTCGAGATTTACCAGTGTGGACAAAGAAAAAAGTCCCACCGAATTATTGCTCTGACGGACTTCGACTTCACCAAATAAAACAACATTATCTGGGCATTTATTAATGAAATTTATGTTATTGACTAAAAAAAGGTAAGAATGTGTTAGCGTTGCATAAGCATTTACCATTAATCCACCATACATAGAAATATAGAATCATAACTTATTTTATCTATTTTCTTATATTTAATAATATATATCGAGTTTAAAAAATAAAATAAAATAAAATAAAATATTAGATAGGGAACGATTTACCCAACCAATGATGGGACCCATCACATGAACGCCTCTTGCATATCCGACCCCTCACTGGCCCTATAAATCTTCTTCCTTCTGGCGTTCAAATTCCTTACTCTCTCCCCCCCTATTTCTCTCTCTCTTAATTAAAGAGAAGATGGGTCTCTCCAACCATCTTCACGACGTCTCCGGCGATTCCCTCCCGCTTCTCCTCCTCGCCGCTGCGGTAGCATCCATCGCCTACCTCCGATCCTTACTCCTCCGCCTCCTCCCCCTCTCATCCTCCCCCGTCGACGCCGTGCACGACATCGAGCCGTCCATCGGATCCGGCCTCGCCGGCCTCGTCGTCCTCGCCGATCACCTCGCCTCCAACCGGCCGTTCCCCTTCCTCTCCTGCCCGTCGGAGGTGGGGGACCGGCGGCCGGAGTGCGCGGTGTGCCTGTGCAGCCTGGCGGACGGCGACCGCGTCCGGCGGCTCCCCTGCCGCCACGTGTTCCACGGCGAGTGCCTCGACGGCTGGCTCCGCCAGCTGAATCTCTCCTGCCCTCTGTGCCGCTCCCAACTGGCCGCACCGGAGCTGCGCGCCGTCGTCGACCGCCGGATCGGGGCGGAGCTCGTCTCTTGGCTGTCCCACTACTGATCCGACGGTGGAGATCGATCCGCGCGACGACGACGGTATCGATGATGTTTTCTGGTTCCTGTTTACTTTCCAATATCTTATCATATAAAGGAAAAGCTCTCTTTTCTTTTATTTTTTTAAGGCCTTGCCGTTTTATCTCTCTCTCTTTTTTTTTAATGTAAGGCCTTATTTTTTGGGGTCTCTCTGACGGCGGAGATCTTTGATTTGGCATATGTTGTCACCGTTTTAACTGGTTTTATCTTTCTTTTTTTTTTGGCCTAAGCTGCACAGCACCTCAAATGACATCTGTTCATGAAGATGACATCGATCGATAGCATAACAAGGAGAAAAAGGGTTGGTGACGAACAAATGTATTCGTAGATCAAACGATAGAATAATGACATTTTATTAGTAATTGAAATGAATAATAATGGTGAAATGGCAATGGCAATTTGCATAAACACGACAGGGAATAACCAGCATTTTGAGCTCCAAGCCAATTACTAATTAGATTTGTTAAAGGTTTCTTTTTCTAATTTGATAAGGACAAAGGTAAAGGGTTCAATTTTCTCACATTATCTACCGAGTCATGCAATTTATACTTTCGATACGCTCACGGATGAGGTTACATTGAAAGCGCTATTCTACTATATGCATGTCACGTTGAGATTGTTTCGGTCACATTGAAAGCGCTATACTACTGTATGCATATCTCGTCGAGATGATATCATGCTAGATTGCAATCGTGATTCATTCATTTGTGTATCCAACCAAACGGCTGGGGTCACTGTCGTCTCGCCCAACGTGTTCGCATGATACTGAGCATTCATCGTCAATCGAAGATATGTGCTTGGAATTGGAGGTCAACTTCTTCGGTTCCAAGGCAGACGACTCGACGTACGATCCAACTCATCGCCCTTCGCCCCGAGGCCGCAAGTGACAGCGGCCGTCGACATCAACGACGATGCGTTACTTGTCATTACATCTTTCGCATCCAGCGGTCGCAAGTCACTTCGACGAACAGTCGTATGTTAACCGGATCGTACGTACTAGGTGCGCCAGATTCAGGGTACGGATGTGACAAAAAGCCAGCCCATGGGCTGGGTCGGGTTTGATGGACCGGGTTGGATTCGAGATCATGAAGTTCTACGCGAACCCCACAACCCGGGCGGGTCGGGTCATGTCATGCGCGTTGGTTGGGTTGGACAACGAACGAGAACGTTCGCCCGAACCCGATAAGTCGGATCTCGATCGGTCCAGCTTGGTTCGATCGATAGGTCCATTTAATCAAGCACGTCAAGGGTCTGATCAAACAAACAGTGGTTTCTTTCACCGATCCCAGCGAGAATTGCAATTGAATATAATAAAACGAGGGAGATGTCGATTCGTAAGGTAACATAAATTAGTCACGTTCTCGAACAATTATAATCCATGCCATACTTTATCCGAGTGGCATCAGCTAGATTGTAGTTACGAGTGCTTGTTGACGGTTCCGTGTGCTCCATCACAGGGAAGCTTTAGGTTTGTTTAACGTGTTGGTGTCATCACGCCAGAGAGGTTGACGGCGTACGATTAATTAAATAGGCCCGCATGACTTCTCGATGCGTCGTAAAGGATGATACGATTCCAAGTCATTTTGATACAGTTTGCTAGAATTCCATAATTGAGTTATCCGTCAAGAAATCCAACTTGCAAGGGCGAGATACTGTTATGCAACGCATTGCTTGTTCGTACGCTGAGATTCGTGCTCGGGATCGGCGGAAGCTGAAGGGCAGGATTTTTTGGGGCCCTGCGGATGGCACGCGTACAAAAAAATCCAGTAACGCTTCGTCAGCAGAATGCGGTGACAAATCGGGCGGGCCCCACCCGCATCGGGCGATCGAGGGAGCGACGTGTCTCGCGTGGCCACGTTGTGATCGAGGGCCCCACGCGTACTCATCAACACCGCCTCTGGTGGGATTTCTTTCTTTTTATTTCTTTCTTTTGATTAATATTTGTCGAGTTACCACTCCATTTTTATCGTTGCAACTTCGCCCACGTGTCAGTCGAAACGTGGAATCCCATTCCTGACCAATGACTAAAGTAAAACCCACGGTTTAGTCTGTATAAAAGTCAAATTGTGTTCCGGTGTCCTGTGCACTCTTTTGAGCACAATAAAAATCTATCGTGGGTTTGTTTGTCGCGACTTCGTCAGGCGTTCCCTTGCCATACGTATCTCGGTGATCGTTCCAGGGAACATGACATGACATGCATCTTTGTTGCATTAGATGCATTTGTCGCTCGGAAGCTCTCGTTCATTCCAAACTATAGTGCTTATTTTACAGCTGTCAGCCTCATTCATTTCATTTTACTGCAACAAAAATGATTTCTCGTGAATAAGTTGCTGTATTTGTAGTAGATTTTCTTATCATAGTTGCCTTCCCCATCATTCGTATTAGTTGCACTTATCATGTTTCAATCAGAATGCAACATTCTCTGATTCTCTCATCGGTGTCGTCCGTCGATCCGGCCTCATCAACCATATCATCCGTCCGTCTCCTCGACAGTTGCATTTGAGGGGGGAGACGCAAGCGCAACAACGCATCCCGCACTACGTCGTCTTTTGTCCAGTCATAGAACCGAAAGCGAGCCCAACAACGCATTCGTCACTATGGTTGGGTACAGGTTAGACTCCGTCGTCCACCACTATATTTTTTTGCTCTCTCTCTCTCTCTCTCTACTCGCTGACGGAGATCAAGGTCGAACCATCCCGATCCGGTGGGGCCACAAAAAAACAAGTACCCAACCGCTTCGGTCAGCACAGCCGACAAGAGCGGTCGCCCTTGCCCCGTCACTGCGCGGTTTCTCTCTCTCTCCGTCCCCTCCTTCCACCACTTTATAGCCCTGCAGAAACAGAGAGAGAGAGAGAGACGTAGACGTAGACGGGGATGGATTCGTGCGAGATTAGGGCCTCGGGCGAGGGATCCGGTGATTGCGTCGGGGAGGGGAGAGTCTCTGCGGCGGAGCTGCAGGGGATCATGGACCGCATCAGGTCCAGGGTCGAGGTGCAGCAGGTCCAGGCGGCGTTCGAGATCCGGAGGCTCACGAAGACGTCGTCGAGGAACCGGCGGCACCTCTCCGCCGCCATCGAGCCCCTTGTGTTGATGCTCCGGTCCGGGAGCTCTCAGTCTGCTGAGGCTGCCATCCTCGGCCTCCTTAATCTTGCGGTTAAGGACGAAAGGTGCGGTCTTTGGCCTTTCGCTTCGGAAAAGATTTGATTCTTTCGATCTGTACACTTCTTGTTGGGTTGCTTCTTCGTCTTTTGTTCGGAGAATAACTCGTTGATTGTTGCTTCTAGTATTCTAGTATCCTTTATGTTCTTTTAAAAAGAGAAGATATTGCTGCTTTTATTTATTTATTTACGTTTGCCTTCTTTTGTTATTGCGAAATCGACAGCTCAAAGTTTATTTTTTTAGCAGAGATATCATATGAATCTAGAGTAGAAATTGCTCAAATAATTACTCTAGATTAAGTATCTAAGCATTTATTTTTTTCCTGTTCATTTTTTTGGGCTAAAAATTGCCCTTGGCACCACATTTTTTAGATATTTTGAAAAACACCAGATCAGGAATTATAGAAGTTACATTGTAGCCAAAATGTTGACTACTTGCTAAAGGAGGTGCTTCAGATAAACCATCTGATATTTGTTTTTCCTTTTGATATGTTGCTGGTATTCCATGATTTTGTCAAAAGGAAGTGTTTAGTGCATATTGTAGATTTATTAAAATGGAAGCAGATTGCATTTCATCTGTTATCTGGGCCATTAAAATGGAAGCAGAAAGTTGATGGCTGATCCTTCTGCCTAAACTGCTTTGCTCAGTCTTCATATAATTTTTTTCCTTAAATGTCACACACATAGAGCATAAAGAAATTGCCACTTCATTACTAACTATTCCAATCACAAGTGAGATAATAAATTTATAAGTAGTCTTCTGTTTTTATGTTTGAGTACTTTGGATGATCAAGATAGTGTGGAGATGATAATGATATTGCCAATTCACTATCCTATTATTACTAAAAAAGTCAAACTCCCAGATGTTGGCCTTATATCATTGAATGAGAAAATCTGTTGCCAATTCACCAGATTTTGTTGTCTAAGACCAGAGGACTTCTATATTATTCATATGAGGATTAATGGCAAGCTCAGGTTGGATGTGAAGTTATAGTCGATATATGTAACATGTATTATTTCACATGAGGATAATAAAATGGCAACTTGTACATGGTAAAACAAAAAATTGAACCTCTCTCTGAGATCTCTTGTTCTAGAACTTGTTCTTCTATTCCACAGACATGGTTGCTTGAACTAAGAATTCTGCATATATGTCTTGCTCGATAGAAAGAGTAGCAGAGATATTGAAAACTTGATGCAGAGATAGAAGTCTAGGACCAATAGTTGTGTATTGTCGGATGACAAAGTGTGGTAATGGACACTCCTTGGTTTATGCAATTTTGTTCCTAGGTATTGATTAGCTGAAAAATTATTGTGACTACCAGTTCCACACTAGGTTCTCTAATTAAATTTCAACAGAAATTAGTCTTGAGGAGATGGAAAAAAGATCAAACGACGATATCCTTGCTCTTTCGGAGATTCTGCACTTTTTTTCTCTTGATCCATGAATGTCTTTTACTGTGATGCTGTTAACAACTAATATAAAATATTTGCTGAATTGCACTGTGCTTTTATGTTCACAGGAACAAGATCAGCATAGTGGAAGCAGGTGCGCTCAAACCAATGATCATTTGCTTAGCATCTCCAGATGCTGATTTACAAGGATATGCGACTGCTGCACTGTATACCCTTTCTGCTTCGTCGGTCAACAAATCCAGGATAAGTGCCTCTGGAGCCATTCCCCTCCTCATCAAGGTCCTTGAAAATGGAAGTCAACAAGCCAAGATAGATGCTATTGCAACTCTCTACAATCTCTCCACCATCACAGACAACCTCAGAACTGTCCTCTCACTCTGTCCTATTCCTCCTCTGATCAGCTTTCTCAAAACTTGCAAGAAATCCTCGAAAACAGCTGAAAAATGTTGTGCCCTTTTGGAATCATTGGTTGGTTTTGACGAAGGAAGAACTGCTTTGACAGCTGAGGAAGGTGGGGTGCTTGCTGTGGTAGAAATTCTGGAAGAAGGGTCCCTTCAGAGTAGAGAGCATGCGGTTGGAGCCCTCTTAACATTGTGTGAGAGCGATCGAAGTAGATACAAAGAAGTTATTCTCAAAGAAGGCGCCATTCCGGGTCTTCTTGAGCTCACCGTCCAAGGGACACCGAAGTCTCAAGCCAAAGCTCGTCGACTTCTAGAGTTGCTGAGGGACTCTCCCTGTCGAAGCTCTGAATTACAAGCAGAGATGCTTGAGAATGTTGTCAGTAGCATCGTGTCTAGGATCGGTGGTGATGAGCAGGCAGAGAAGGCAAAGAAGATATTGGCTGAGATGGTTCAGATTAGCATGGAGCAGAGCCTGAGGCATTTGCAGCGAAGGGCCCTCATGTGCACTCCGGCCGAGCTGCCTCTTGGTAACCACCGATCTGAAGTCCCTTCAAAATAAACATCTTCTTTTCCGACGATTTCATCCTTTGTTCTCATTTGTACTTGTACAAAAAGTAGTGACAGAAAACCATATTAATAATAAGGTAACAAGATGATGCCGGTCCAGGCCACTGATGGTATCAGGTGACTGGTTTAGCAGTCGAGTGTTGTTAATTTGAGTTCATGTGTTCTTTGTTTTACCTTTCTGTGGGCTAATGGTATATCCTTTTTTTCTCCTGATAAAATTCTAGTGTTGGAATTCTGAAGTATCGCAAATCACAGAATGCAGTAGCCAATTAAGCTTTCTCATAATTCGCAAACAAGGCTTTGCATGGACATCTGCCTTAATTTGGATGGGTTCTTTTGTTGCTGCCTATATTCATCTGTGTCTTATGGTTGCATATCAGTGTAAAAAAAATGCATCCAGCATAGTCTTGAATCAAAAACCACCAAACACAAATGTGGATTGCGATACTCAAGAGCACAAATTAAGTATCTATCTTATGGATGAACTTTTGAGAAACATAGATGGCACTTTTCTAGGCTCCGAACAGTGGAGAATGTGTAACACCTGCAATGTAATTCCAGTGATGCCATGGATCATTTCCCCTGTATGTCGTAACGCTGAACACTAAACTTCACATTCCTGCCATCTAGTATGGATATTTCCTTTGCTACCTCGATATCTGTTAGATTATTCTTTTTAATGCATTGAATCTGAACCAAATTCTAGTTTATTCTTTATGGCCGACAATGAAACGAATACTAATAAACATACAACAATTGGCAGACGCTCACCTGTGCTTGTCTCTCTGGAAGTCGGTGGCCAAGTCTGTCTGTCTTCGGATATGAAAACTGGGAAAGCTCATCGTTATCTAGTTGGCATACAAAATAAACATTATTTTCCTATCAATTTCTGTTTGTCCTGTTCACCCACCCTAACTATTCAACACTAAGTCCATTCGCAGCAGAACATCTTTCGGGTTTCTTAGAGGTGTTTGGACATGGTTTTATGACAGAATTGCAGCAAAGAAGAAAGCGACAGCGGAGCCAGTTCGGTGTCCACCGACGACGACGAGTCACCGTTCGTGCTCTCTTGCTGTAATCATATGAGCGATCTTTCATTGGCAATACCTCAACAAGGCCAAAAGAGCAAGCTTACTTGCAAACGATAAATCTTCTGCACGCTCAATAAATAAAAAGGTTAAACTGAGGTATGATTTCTGTATCTACCTAGCATGCCGGTTTCGTCTTCAACCTGTTAGGGAAATATGATACTTGGGTCGTCACATGACGATCAAGCTAACACAGAAGAGATTAGACCTGCACTCTTGATCAATGTAGATAATTATAATTTTTTTTTTCTTATTATCTACATAAATAAAAGGATAAAAGATTATAATTAGTGAGGGATAATAATCATTTTAGATTATTTACGTTCACAGACACCTATATTAAGTTATTAATTTAAATGTCGAAAGAATCGAGCCAAGAAATCCTCCTTAACTATGTAAATATTACGTATCGGGAACTCAATATTTCAATTCAGAAATACCTTGAATAATTATATATATATAAGAGTAAATTATATCACTAGAATATCAAAAACATCTTTTTTTTACGCATCCATTATCTTATGTCTCAATCATTATATAAATTATTATTTATCCCTTCAAAATTTAATATATATATTTATTTAAATATTTAGATACATATTTCATATGTACTAACATGCTGATTTGGTCTATATTTATTTAATATTATCTATATCTACTAACATGCTGATTTGGTCTTTATTTTAAAATTATATTTTGCTGTTGTTTATAAAATGCAAAGGCAAGATGAGAAAAATAATGAAAGAAACAGGAGTGTCAGTGAACAGCAAAGGTCCCCCACATAGAATACGCTTCCTTGCACACGTAGCCTTCTCAACGGACTCCGTCGTCCGTACCCCGAGCCGATGCATTCCTGGCGTGGAAAGGTCATCGCAACGAGCAAAAGCCCAAACGTAGAAGCCTTCTCACGTCGACTCCAGACCTGACTTCCCACTGTTCCCGGTCACCGCATGCAGGAGACACTCCGCCCCTTTCCTTTCAGTGGTCGGTCAAAGTCGTTTTTATTTCTTTCTCTTTTTTAACTTTTTAAGGAGTGGTCACAGGCATCTCAAACGTACCGCCCGGTGACTTCACTCACGGGAAGACGCCTCGTACAATTTATTTGGTCGACCCCTCCTGTCAATCTTCGACCCTCTTCTTGTTCTTCCATTCTTCCTCTCCGGCCGACGCCTTCGGTTCTCCATCCCCCATCCCCCCCTTCATTTTGGACCCCTCCCCCTCGCCTCTATTTGGGAACCCTAACCCTAACACTGACCTTAAATCTAAGGGTTGGATCCGATCGCTTGTTCTTGGATCGATGGGAGAGGGCGACGCGCTGGAGAGGTTGGGACCGGAGGCGATGGATACCTCGTGCGTGAAGGGAGATCTCGGGATGGAGATCGACGCGCAGCCGTGTCGGGAGGGCGCCGCGACGGCGGAGGACTGGCGGCGGGCCCTCGCCAAGGTGGTGCCCGCGGTGGTGGTGCTGCGGACCACTGCCGCGCGCGGCTTCGACACGGAGACCGCCGGGGCCAGCTATGCCACCGGGTTCGTCGTCGACAAGGGCCGGGGCATCATCTTGACCAACCGCCATGTGGTCAAGCCGGGTACCTTTTCGATCTTGACCTTCGCCATTACGATCAAGATTGATGCTCGCTTCTTATCCATGCGATTGTTTTGTGCTGGTGCAGGCCCCGTCGTTGCGGAGGCGATGTTTGTCAACCGAGAGGAGATTCCGGTCTATCCGATATACAGGGATCCTGTAAGTTCTTGGCTGCAGTTTCATCAACTTCTTGATCGGTAACTGTTTCGAGAGATAAATTTTCTTAGTGGTGTTTGGCATCAGTTACCTTTCCGGCATTGCGATTGTTCTTTCGATGTCATTTTTCTCAGGTCATTTCTCTTGAATTCTAATATCCTGTGAGTTTTCTTGGATATTCTGTACCCCGTACGTTTTCAGTTTTGCAGTAACTTCTTGATCGTTAACTATTCGACCGATGAATTTTGTTGGAGGTCTTCGACATTGGTTACCTTTTCACCATTGAGATAGTTCTTTCAATATCATTTTTCTCGGATCACTTTTTTGAATTCAAGCTCACGATTCCGGTCTATCCAGTAGAGATAAGGATCCTGTAAGTTTTCAGTTTTTTGATTCTTGGCTGCAGTTTCAGTAACTTCGTGATTAGAAACTATTCGAGCGATGAATTTTCTTGGAGGTCTTTGACATCGGTTACGTTTTCTTGTCATTGTTCTTTGGATATAATTTTTTTGGGGTTATTTTTCTTGAAATATAATATTAAGGATCCTGTGGAAATATTTCAAAACACTAATTTGGTCTATAACTAATGAGGTCTATGCACTTGTTGATGCCACAGATTGTTATCTCAATAAACTGAGCCTCTCAGTGGATAGCTTCGTGTCTTCGTCTTATTTTCTTGGGAGGGCCTTGTTAATAATGCAAATAAGTACTATTCAGGCATATGTTTGTATTGCTAGGCATGAAACCTTATAATTAACCAGGTTCTGATAGAATTTTTGCCAGTGATCAACAAGCAATGGCACTCAGTGTTATGATGGAGAGATCTATTCTGTTTCCTACCCCACTTACCATTTATCTTATGACATCTGTTAAGTTGAATGGATTCGGATTGAGAATTTGGACACTTGAAGAATGGGAATATGAAGCAAGAAATCCATCTCCTTGATCTGTTCTTGAATTTTAGAACACAAGCATATCTATGACGTTTAACATAGATGTTTAATACATCGGATAATTTATGTCAAGCAAGCATTTGATATTTTATGTCTTCCACCATAACTTAGTAGTGGGTTCTACAGATTCTCAATTTGGTGAAAATCTGAATGCTGTTCATGTTGCTTTAGGAAAATTGGTTGCTGTCTTACACATTTCCTGTCTTTTTATGATTAGATACATGATTTTGGCTTCTTCCGCTATGACCCTGAAGCAATCAAGTTTTTGATCTACGAGGAGATTCCCCTTACACCTGAAGCTGCTTGTGTTGGTTTGGAGATACGAGTTGTAGGAAACGATAGTGGTGAAAAGGTACGTATCATAGTTATGATTGTTTAATGGACCTTGTTAATTTTTCATTCTTAGTAAGTCAAAGAATTGTTATTGAATGTGGTTTAGAATTGTGTGGTTAATACCTGGCAGGAAACAGAGTGAGGTTCTTAAAATGTCTTTAATTAAGGACTTGCTGTGAATCTTTTTCTATATGTACTATTCTGGTGGAGGAGGGATTATGTTTATATGTGTGACTAGTGCAAAAGATTATAATGACAATAAGTATTACATATACATACATGTCGCTTTTGAGAATTCACATAATTTTATATGTCAAATAACTGAATAGCTTAGAAATAAAGATTTGGCAAGGATTAAAATATTGTACCGTACTGGAGTTTCGACATTCACTCAGTACGGTACGATACTGTATACCGAGCGATATACCGTTCGGTATAGGTATATATTAATAATAATAATAAATAAATAAATAAATAAAATAAAATAAAATTTTGGCGATGTCATCGAAGCAACGTCGCCTATATAAGTATATATATATAAGTAAAAAAATGTTATAAAATATTTATATATAAATATTTATATATAAAAATATTTTTTATATATAAATATTTTTATAAAAGGCGGCGTCGCCTTCTATTATATATATATATATATATATATATATATATATATATATATATATATACAAACCGCCTGGTAACGGGCGGTCCGCTGTGCCAACACCTTGTTGATGTGGCATGGTTCTGTGGTGTGCCAATTAATGCCCCCTTGATGGTTGGCACAAGCAAAATATTGGCTGCTATTTGTCGGCACCGCTGGCATGGATCGACATGCTTAATGCTAATACATTTTTGGCATGGTATGTTTCAATTTGTGCCAACACATATGTCAGTCAAAACGGTAATCTTCGATCATGTTGATAATGCTATTGTTACCCATTTAAATTTATGAATGCGATATTCA